GGATCCTACTTTGGGGATATCCCAAAACACACATCTGCAGCAGCCGGAGCAGCCAGATACATGACCCATGATGAAATTTGCTTCCACAAGGACTACTGCCAGAGTGTCTCTGAATTTTGTCTCAATTTGATGCTCATTCCAATACCCAAAGCTCAAAATATTTACTGTTGCAATGGAGGAAAGACAAGATACAACTCTAGAAGTTGAGATGTTTTCTGTTTTTCTCCAACCTGTATTCAGAAAATATTTGGGACTGGAGTAGAAAGTGAACTAGAAATGGAGCCACAAAATTCTCTTTGATTCTCATTCGCATGCAGAAAATTTACATTACAGACAAACATCACAAGAAAATAATACTGATAGGAAACATTTGAAACATTAAAATACAATGCACTTCAAACATATTTTTTATGTCCAGGTATTCTTTTTGTCACACAGCTTGACATTACGATTTATTATTATATGGGAAATGTTTTATTATTTAATATTCTTCAAATACCTGGCAATGATAATTTTTTTTTTTAAGGTTAATATATCAATGTAATCACTGGTGAAAGCATACCTTGGATTTCAGGGTTCTTACCAGTAGCTAAGCTTATGATTCAGAATCATTATATCCTTTCATACTTATACTAATGTCAATCTGATACAACAATTAAACTAGTATACAGAAGTACATTTTTTTAAATGCGTCTTTCCTTACAATTTTTTTTGATTTTTCAGTTTTTCCGTGCAATTCCCCAAACTGTTAACCATTGCTTTTAATCTGCCAGCACACAGTAGTGTATATATGGCTGTGAGGTCTCATGTACATAGAGGCCCTCAAGGTCAAAAATGTAACACTCCTTTGGACAACCTCATGTGCTTTTTCCTGGGTTGAGCATCTGGGACTCTGTGAAAAGTTTACACAATATTTTCAGACCAAGGATACTGGTTTCAAAGTTTGTTTAGCCCTTCCTTACTATGCATATTCATAGTCTTTGAATCCTTTGACATACAAGTACACAGGCAAGCACTCTGCAGAAATAATATAAAGAAACCATGTGTAGGGACAAACAGAGGTCTGATGCTTAAATTCTTCCTCTATTTTATTTAGCGATATACAGAAACAACCTGTACCTCCTGGAGGACCTGGTAAGTGGCTTCAAAGAGTCACTTTGTTTCAGCATAGAAAACAATTTCAACTAACTTGTGGAATGATGACACTGAGTACATTCCCTAGAGTTTATGATTATGACTTTCCCCCTTTTTTTTGGTCTCAAAAGGATAATCTTTCATCTTTCATATATGTAAAAGGACCAAAATGAGATTTTGGTTTCAGAGATAGTGACAGTCATAGGAGTTTGGTTGTCCAGTGTTGCAAATTTTATTGTAGAAAATATGTTTTGATGAAAAAAAAAGATAGAGCAAATTATGTAATCCAAGTTGTCACTTGTTATTCAGGCCTTTGTCTCTATCAGCTGTTATCTGTGGCACCAGTCAGTAAGGATATTTGTAAGCATTTGAAGATGTAAATAATGTAGCCAGTTGCTTCCAAAAGAGAAAAGTTGGGTTTTTTAACTTTCTTGTGGCTGTCTCTAAGACCTGTTGAACTCAAGCTGTGTATCTTGGCTGTTTATACCTAACATACTATACCTGTTTGCTGTAAGCGCATAATAATTTTTAACTCCTGCACAGAGAAGCAGATGTTTTAAAAAATGTTTGAACAGCAAGCTGAGTGCAGCCACATTACTCCATGGCCTTCAGCTGTGTAAGGTTACAGTTATTGATGTGCTGCAAACTGAGAACATAGATTTTCTTTCATATAAAACTTTTGACTTTATCTGTAACAAAGTAAGAAGAAATAACATACTCTGAACCGTTTAAATGTTTCTGTAAAATTCTTGTTTCTGCAGTATTGGGTGTCCCTTTGAGTTTCCTATCAGATGTCAAAGGAATTTAAAATTAAAGAAAACCTTGAGTAAAAGAAAGTTCTAGAACAGATTTTTGTTATAGAATTTTTCTATGTTAATTCTACTTAATTTGACTTCTTAATGTTAGTGCAAGGCCTCAGTAGAAAAAAAAATTCAATGTTATGGGGAAAATAGTAGAAATATGAGTTAATGTTATAACTGAGAAAGAGGGGAAGTTCTCCTAGTGAAGGAAAATCAGTAGCTCTCAGATCCTCAATCTCCTAGTGAATGAGCTCTGTTCAAAATTCTTCTGGAGTACCAATGGTACTAGGATTTGTTTATTTACAAGTAGTGTATGTGCACTTTACTAAACATGCAATGCTGTGAGAGGGACCTGTCATTTTGTGACAATGGGAACAGTGAACAGAGAATTTCCTGAGAATAACCAGAGGAAAATCTTGATCTCATACAGTAAAATGTAGTGAACATTGAGCATTTTGAGAAGACTGCTTAATAAAGTGGGTCTTTTGGAAGCTTTCCTTGCCTTTCATTACCTTAAAAAGTATTTAGTTTCAGGATTTTTTACTATTTTTTTTAATTTTAAACACAGTTATCAGTGTTTTACATCAGTCTCTAATCTGGATTATGCCTTCCAGGCGATGTTAGAGCATAAGTGCTAAATAGAAATTATACAGAAATAATATCTTTCTCAAATACTACTTAAGATAAAAGAATATGGTATATGCAGATGGGCCATCGTATCTCTGGGGAGATTTCTAGTTTATTGCTTTGGTTGATATTTCCCATTGATATAAAGGACACAGTTTACATATATGAAATGTGGCATGGACACGTGAATTCTGAGCATGAATCGCCTATATCAAATTTTAAAAAGAGCCTTAGTCTAGCCTACATTTCATCTTCAAGTATATTGTCCTAGGCCAGTAATTACAGTCTTTTATACAAGACCTATTTTAAGATACTGTTTTTATATAATGTATATTTTTATCTTGACTTTGAAAGATCAGATCCTGTTTGTCATGTAAATTCTGCCTTGTGAATGCTTCAGTGGCTTAAAGGAACATATCATCTTCCAAGATATTGAAGCAGCAGTATTTTTGCTGTGATTGCCATGTATGGGCCGTTTTCTTCCAAATTCTTCTGACTGAAATTAAGGTGATGGGGGAGGTGGAAGAAGAAGTTATGGCACATTTAAAATACATTTCACTCACAAATGAAACAACTAAAATAGATTGTATTTAGTTCTACTTGGAGTCAAAATGAACAAAATAAACAATTTAAAGTTTTTAAAAAAAGCCAATCAAGTATTTATAATATGCAGGCTGAATGCTCAGTTCCAACACAAAAGTTAGTGGAGGTCCTCTTCCTTTTTCTTATTCTGCTCAGTCTTCCACCTGGGTAAACTTGAGTACAGGAAGCTTAACTGAGGTATCCTATGCTGAGTCACGGGTACACGTCCCCCTGCCCAGAATCCCCTTGGTTTTTAGGAATCTTGCTTCAGTACTGTTGTGATCACCCAGGTCTGTTGTCTGCAATTGGTATTAAAAAACCTCAAATAAGTGATATTTTAAACAGTTGCTTTAAAATCAAGCAACTTGAATATCTAAGATCGTGCTGAAAAGAAATTGTTTAAGAGGGAGGAATTCTCATCAGTTTTGCCAGTTGTTACCAACTGCAAATCTAAGTGAGGGTATTCTTTTTTATACTGGTAGGGGTGCTGGATGTAATAGACATTTTTAATGTCTTCCAGTAATCTAGCCTTTTTTCCTTTCACTCTGCATATAGTATCTGCTTGGAATAACAAAGATGTGACCATTGCAGAAGCCCTGGTGTTCCTAAGTCCAGCAGCTGTCTTGAGATGTATACTCATTGCTTATTTTTAAACATGCAAAACTACTGGGAGGAGAGAAGAGGAAAATGAAGAATTCAAAGTGATTACCAGAGTATGTTATAAATAATATGTAAAACAATGGTATGTAAATGTACCATGGTGTAGCTAGAATACATTGCCACAAAAACTTTTTATTTAATTACAGACCATGGAAAATGAGCCTCCAGAACAGGGCAAAGTTTTAGGCAAAGCTAAATAATGCTATAATGTTTCAAAAAGGGGGCAACTGCATCCTCACTTCCTGTTATGGAGGCAAACTTAAGGCTAATAAACGACATTAGAATAACAAAATTTATCCACTAGTGAACAAAGCAATGAGTCTGGACAAAAATCACATCATTTTCTCTGCATTTCCAGGATTTAGGATCTGTCTCTTGGTTTTAGGAAGACTGGTCAGTTCCTGAAATAAATTACTACTTTTCTCAGAAACCTATAGGATTATATGTATTCATATTTCAGGCTGATGGTAATGTCTTTGTAAGGATCATCCAGCAGCAACTGTATTATTGAAAGTAATCTGCTGAAGCGATAAAAAAATTCAAGATGTCAACAATTTGGCCACGACATTTACATGATCCAGGCTGAGCTTGCACACATCTTAAATTATATGGCCGGGTAACTCAGAAAACATAATCTGTATAAAGAGAAGATTACTCTGATATCATCTATGCAAAGTAAAACAATGTGAAAGACTCATATATTGGTATCAGAATGAAAGTACAATAGTTTTTGTCTCATGAAATATAACTCAACAAGCATATGGTTGCTATTTCACATATGCCTCTTAGTTCTCTTCTAGTTTAGGAAAAGTGATTTGAAATATGGGTGATACTACTTATACAATCTTGTGTCCATCTATTAATTCATTAGTGTTCCTATTTATGTTATTTTTCAATGGAAAACCATCAGAATGGATTAAGTTTTTCAGAAGATGAAATCCAAATGTTGGTAAATGAGGCTGTTACATTTTCTACTTCTTCAGAGTTAATTACTGGTCAATTCATATGGCAGAATTAAAACTAACAATGAAGATGATAAACTTGTGCCTCAGCAACTCTCAGTAAATTTGAAATATAAAGTGTGGGAGTAGGCATTGTCTCAATAATTTTTTATATTGTTAGTATCACTCAATATTTATGTTGATGGCTAATAATCTTTTATTTCTCTTTCTTTATCTTTTTTTGCCTCTCTTGTAGGACATGAACACTTCTGAATACTCAGACAGAAAGCCTGTCTCTGTATGAAGGAGAGGAATCCTTTTCATTAGCACATTTAAGTACAGACTTACCCCAGCAGTCAGATCACTGCCCTGCCACACTTCACATTTTAAAGACCATGTAGGATATGCTAGCATGATATTACTATAGTTTTTTTTTGAAGAAGATTTTCTTCCTGTGGTCCATTTTATCTTTGCCAGTTATAAGTTGTTTCAATCTGGAGTTGACTGACTGCAGCTCCTGAGGCACACCAGCTGCCATGCTGCAGTGCAGCACCGACCTCTGTGTTCTGGATGACTCCAACAGAACTGTTTGAGTAATTTGACATTAAAATAATGTTCAGTGACTCTGTCATTTTCAACCAATTTCCTGAATAATTTCAAATCTATTAATATACAGGAAACTGCTGCTTGACAAAGGTTGGATTCTGTGAATGCAGGAGTGCCAGTTAATTTTTAACTTCCCTTATTATCTGAAATGAAACCTGATATGACAGACTCATTTTCAGTACCAGATAGTGAGGAAGATGGAAGCAGTGGACACAACTGACATCCTTGTCTGAAAAATTTCAGTAATCTTTTATTTTCCTTGTAGTCCTATTTTTACATGAAAAAAAGAAAGCTAAGCTAAAAATATAATGCTACTGCACCAGGCTTAGGAGACTTTTCTCCAAAAACTCACAGAAATTCAGGAGAAGAAATCTGATTTTGAACAGGAATTTTGCCTTTACATTTATAGTTTATTAACTGAGCCTGTTGATTACAGTTACAAAAAGCCCAGCAATATTTTCTTTCTTTATCAGGTTTGGCTGGAATTAAAACAAAAGAGCTAACTGATCTGTAATAGTCACAATCTAGATCTTGTTACTGCTTCTTTTAATGTTGTCTCCATTTTTGTTTTCATGGTTTTACCTAATGACAACATTGAATAACAAAAACAGCCAATGTATAGCCTGACACTTTAAGGTGCTGAACTCCCTTAAAAATTATGCCAAATAAGTTCTTAATTTACCTGTTACAGTTTGGACAGCTAACAATTCTGGCTGTGAAGTTTACACCTGATTACATTTTTCATGGTGTCTTAGAGTGCATGCACTAAAGGGTGTTGGTGCCAAGCTACTTAAAGCTTGGTGAAAAGATCATTGCTCTGCTGCAGTGACTGACTGCATATTATGAGGCAGTAAGAACTGAATCATTAAAGAGTTTATTTTCAGCAGACAGAAAAAGGAATGATGTTGTCAGATTGAAATATATGACATATTGTTTTACTTTGATGAATACCAAAGATTGTGTCTCAAAGAAAAATTGAAGACCGCAGGTCCTCACATGTCAAAAAAATAGATAAGCCCAAGGGGAAAAAGGAAAGGGAACCACAAGCTAAAAATTGAGCTGTTGAAATGTGGTGATTATTGTAGTCGTTATACTACTGTCAATTAGATTAGCAAGTAGCTCTGGAAATGTTGGATGACAAAGTAATGGAAAACTTATTTTGACTGCAACCAATTGGCTTACAGAAAATTAGTTAATGAGTGACTTGAGTTTTCAACTCCAAGGTGGATTTCTCAAACTCAATCTTCTGGATAAATACCTAAAATAAATCAGATCATTATCTTCTTACAAGCAATATCTCTGGAATACAGAAAACAAACAACTCTCATTGAATTTTCCCCAAATACTTCTGAAGAAATGGAAAATATGCATATCTCTATTTCTTTGAAATAGGAAGACTCTGAATATACTCCTTTCTGTCAATCCAGCCTTCATAGAGGAACTCACAGAAAGGCAACAGGCCTCTCTGGACTGGAGAAGTGCAAGTAAGTGACAAATTTTCTTTGTGGCCTTCAAATCATGTCCTATCTCTTTCTTTGCTCTCTGTACATGCTGGGTGGAGCTTGGTTTCTGGAAGGAGCTAGACATTATGTTTCCATTCTGTTTTAACTGCCTGATCCTTTATTTTTAATCTAGTGAAAAAAAGATAATTTCCATGTAATACTGCTAAACAAAATATGGTAGTTTGTCAGTATAGGTAGTTAATGTTAGGTATTCAAGAAGTGCAAAAATGTGCCAAAGATATAGAAAAGCTGTTAAAGTATAACTTAATTCCTCATCTCTAGTCAGAATTGAGACAATCTACATAAAATTTATGCCATGACTTCAAAAAAGTTAGTGCTTTTGGGTATATTCTTAATCTAGTCACAACATGACAAATATGAAGGTCCATTAGCAACATTATTTATTTATAATTAATTGATATAAACAAGTCTGAAATTTAAACATGTGTATCCTTACACAGGCTCTTTATATGAGCACCAGAAATATTTTTCAAGTAATATAAGTTAAATTGACACATCTTTTAATACAAGAAAACCTTACTTTGCAGTTTGAGGCATTGAATGGCTGAATTTCTGTGCATTTGTCTCACACAGAGTAGGAAAGGAAATCAGTAATAATAGCCATGAGTCAAAGCTGTGGTAGCAGGTTTCAAACTGTAACATTGGTATATGTTCACTAAAAATATGGCTCTAATAACTGCAAGATCGTTCTGTCCAGTATTTATTACAGTGATGATGTACTGATGACACAGTATGGTTTCATAAAACCCAGACTCTTTAATCCATTTTTCTTGTCTCTTTGGATGCTGGCCATACCTCAGATGCACTGCACTGCTGACAAATGAGTGAAGAATGCAGAATGCCTTTTCTGTCAGGATCTTTGCAGCAGGATTTTCTAGTTCTTACTGTAGATTAAAACAAACAAAAAAACAAAAAACAATGCATGAATGTGCAGCCATGCTGGAGACAGGAAACCTGAAATGCTTTCCTATATCTTGCATGAGACTAATTCAGTTAGGTGACAAAGAGTTTCATTTCATTTATCTCAGTTTTGAGTATTCCACTTATTATTTAAAAATGCATTCTTGATATATAAATACTGAGATAAGAGAAGCAGAAGAATTTGTTTGGAATATAAACCCATTTAATCTGTGAATTCTCAACTTATTTTTGACCATTCTGATTTTTATTTTTTGTAAGCATTTTTTCTGTCCTCTTATTTCACTTTTTTTCTTACTACTTCAGTTTATTTTTTTAAGAAAACATTAAGAAAATATATTTTTTGGATAATCTATCCTAAAGTACCCCAAATCCTCAGCAGGCAAGAATTAGGTGCACTAAGGTCACTAGCAGTCTTGCTGAGCAGCTTTTCAAATTCTCTGTGTCATCGGGGGTGAGAAGTGCCTTTTTATTCGACATAATTCTGAACAATATTTAGGACACCTAGCAGCACCTAGCAGAAAAGTCCTATAAAATATGAAGACTAATAATATATAAATTTGTATATATATCTATATTTAAAATAAACATATAATATCTATACATATAGAGAACAGCAATATTGTGATCATCTGTAATAAAAATATAGGAATTTTGATTAGAAACAAAGAATACCTACAGTTATGTCTTGATTATCTGTACAAATAAAAAGGGTGATAATAATCATATTTGGTATGAAAAGGCTGATAAAGGAAACAGTTTTCTTTTCCATCTTTTATGGAATGAAAAACATGCCATTATTGCTGGCAAATGAAAAGGTCCTTCACAGGAGAAGAGTAGTTGGTCTTCAAGAACAAGTTAAGGAGAACATTGCCCTTTATTCTACATGGAATGACTTGCACAAAAATTACTTTTTACTGATGAATTCAGACAAGTTAATACTAGTAATATACAATTCTTAAAAGAATATTAACATGTTAACATGAAGGCAATAAAACATATACCCTAACATATGATTCAATCCAATTCCAACTGAAAGGATTAGAAAGTCTACCACTTACAAAACATTCACTCAAGTCATTGTTATTAGAATGAAATTTTCAAACCATTCCTAAAAACAAAGAAAAACAACACAACAGCAACAACAAAAAACCCACCAAAAAAAAAACCAAAACACCAAAAAAATCCAGCAGTTAAGTGAACAGCAGAAAACCTGAAGCAAATTGGTAATCTGAGGGCAATTTTTAAAATCACATTTCACTGTAACAGATAACGCAATTGATGAAACACAGCCCATCATATAATTATCTCATATTATTGATATGGTTGAAACAGGACAGTAACTATATCCTTCTGCCACTTCTCAGTTAAAACACTGTCTCTAAAATACTATGGACTTATAACACAGACTACTTACCTTTAGCCAGACAGGTTGTTGAAATTCTGGAGCTGCCCAAACAGAGCAGTTTATCTATGCAGCCACTAATGATGGCATATATATGATTAGGGGAAGACAGTCTGCTTCCACTGCTTGGTGGTGCTTCTGGTCCAAATTGCACAAACAGTTGGATTGCATGAATTCCTTTTCAGATGAAAAGGGAATTATTTGATCTATTTCCTGAAAACAGTCATCATCTTAAAATAGCACCAGAAACTGGCTTGAAGTGTCCAGAGCATTAAGTCAGGATCTCTTCAAATATTTCTCTTTAACACAAAATTTCATTTCTATAAGGCTATTATCTAGCAGCTAGATAATGGAAAACAACTGTTTGTGCAAAAACTGAAAAGTTAGTGGTGAAACTACTTATTTAATAAATTATTAATTATAATAATGATCTATACAAAAACTAGCCAGTATAACAAATCATAAAACTATTCATTGATTAAACTTTTTTCAGGGAGAGGTTTTCAGCAAAATGCAATTGTATTTTCCTGAACCAGTAAGAGTTCCTCATTCTGCAAGGAGTGTGGGAGAGCAAAACTGCATCTCAGAGAGAGGAAAAATATTCACTTGTTCTGGATTTATACCTGGCTAAAATTTTTCAAAAGGCAAGATATTGAGTTCTTGCTGATGCTCTTAATAAGAACTTTCCTAATAGCCCCAATATCTTTCCATTTGTAGGAACTCTGAGTATGTATAGCGTGCAATCAAATTAATTGGATAGTCAGTTTCTCTTAATGGTCTTGATGGTAATGATTGTAGTGACTGAAGATTCAGATGCTTTCAAATACTCTACGTGTTTGGTTTGTGGTATAAAGATAGTAGGCACAGGCTTCTTCAGACTGTTCCAAGGATGAAAACATGGCATAGGTTTGGCATACTTCCCAGATTTAACTTGATCTATAGCAGTTTTTCATCATGTAGGTACTGAAAGGATAGGGGAAGTGGGGAGGGTGCCAACGCATTTCTTTAAAAAAATGGTGAGGAATAAACCTGTATGATATGATTTACTCAGTTATTTTGTCCTACCATTCCATTTCTGTGCTCAGCACTTCAAACTGATTATTCCCCAAATTAAGCTAATAGGCCAATTAGCTGAAAGTAAAGGTAAATTAGACATTGTAAATATAGCATAATTAGATTTATTGACAATTAATGAACTGCTGCAGATACAGCACATCCACAAAGGAATATCAGGAAGAGCAGCAAAAAAGACTGATCTAAAAGTATAATTTGTTAAAAACTTTTATGCTAGAAAATATTTATTTTATTCCTCTCTCTTTTGATTGCTCTCAGCACTGCTTTATTATCATCAAAAATAATTAGTATATAAGTAACAAATTATTATATTTTCTAAAACATGGAGGATAGACAATCTTGCTGAGCAGCAGACCTTTACCACTGATAACTTCAGTATTGTACTCTGTTGACACCATTAGATCTATCCAGTAGTTAACAGCCATTGTGAAGGTCAAAGTGGAAAATTTAAAGTCCTTCCTTTCATCCCTTTCTCTTCTCCACCCTCATTCCTCTCAGCTTTTAGCAAAAAAGCCATCAAACATCCTGGATCTAACCCTACTGCTCTTGAAACATTGAATGCTTACTAGGTAAAGAACTTGGATGACAGATGGAATCCAATAAACATAGGGATCTTGTTGCCATTTTAGATGCCGAGGTGTCATTTGAATTGGATCATAAGTGGATGTAGAAGCTATATAAGAAAACTCATGGTGCTTAAAATGGCACCAAATCCTTTTTATAGGCAACTGAATCCAACATCATATCACTTCATGCATCTATGAATATGAATCCAGTTTGAAGTTAAGGTGGGATTAAAATTTTGTGGCTAGAGTCAGAATTCTAAGTGAGTGTCAGATGCTCTAGCTCCCTTTTCAGTCACTGGGCTTGGCTTAGCTGCCAGTATGCCAGCTCTTTGTGCTATGGCAGGTACTCTGAGATGTTAAGTCCTGGCCTCCATCTGCTGCTCCAAAAGATGTGTATCTCACCTAGGTCCTGCTGCAATTATTTGTCGGTGCTGAGCAGTGGTATAAAGCTGTATAGAATGCCACAGACATTTCAAATTATAGAAAGTGGGTAAATACATGGACAGCTGAGCTGGACATTAGCTGGCCTTTTCACATAGAGATGTAGTCAGATCAGCTACTTTGAACTGAATCCCACTGTTAGAACCCGTATGAAATAACTCTGTTCCTCCTAAAGTTAGCAAGAAAATGGTTCATGAAAATTTAACTTCAGATCATAAGCATTACTTCTCACTTTGAGAAGGACCCAGTTCTGAAGAAGACTTCAGCTCCTGTGCTGAAGCTGACAGCCCCAATGGGTGTCTCAGGTGGCACATGGGTCTAGACACACCTGCATGATCAACTCAGTCATGGAGTGCCCCAACCTAACAATGAGCAGGCAGCAGGAGACAGACACACACATAAGCAGTGGCTGAGATTGGGAGAAGGTCCAAAGCTCATGAGAATCTATAGGTTGTAGCCTTACACAGACAAGGTGCCTCCCCAGCTGAGCAGTGTTCTCAGCCATGAGTAGTAGAAAGGATGTGATGACATAAAATATTTTGATATTTTGTACCCTC